CTCCATGCCACGCCGCATTGAAGCAGTCATTCATGCAAAAGGATTCCCGACCAAGTATTGAGTGCATAACTGAACATGATTATTTGAAGGTTGGTGTTTTTTGTATTAAAAACACTTGTCTTTCATTGGTGGGATGAAAAATGCTAATTTTTTGGGACAGGCATTTTGGGTTTTCATGAGCTGTATGCCATAATCATCAGTATTAAAACAATTAAAGACCTGAAATATTTCAGTTGGTGTACAATGAATCTGAAATATATGAAAGTTTCATTTTTATCATTACATTATGGAAAATAATGACCTTTATGACAATATGCTAATTTTTTGAGAAGGACCTGTAGACCACAGAGTCCTGGCCTGATGATGTTGCTCTTCTGTGCTGGACCATCCTTTTGGCCAGTGGCTGTTTAGTTTCCCCGATGTAAGACTGATCACAGCCCTCCTGACACTAAACAGCATATACAATATTACTCTGTTTGTGCCGGGGGACTGGATCTTTGGGATGAACAGTCTTTGCCGTAATGTATTTTGGGGTTTTAAAGCCACTGGGACGTTGTGTTTAGAAAATAGACGTCTCAGTTTCTCTGATACTCCCTCAACATATGGAATGACCACTGGTCTGGGTTCCTCCTTTTCACCTGTTGGCTGACTGGAGTCCAGTTTGGGTTTCTTCTATGCTTTCTGGGAGGCCCAGTTAGGATATCCACATTGCTCTAGAGCCCGTCTTGTGTGGAATTTCTCCTTCTGCCTGGCTCCTGAGTTAGTGGGGATGCTGTCTGCTCTGTGATACAGTCCTGATGACTCCTAACCTGTGCTCCAAAGGGTGATGGGAGTCAAACTGCAAATACTGGTCTGTGTGGGTGGGTTTGTGGTACACCTCAGTTTGCAAATGTCCTCTATCAGAGACTGAGACCTCACAGTCCAAGAAAGCCTGCCCATCGTTTTTTACATCTTCTCGTGTGAAATTGATGTATTTATCCACAGAGTTGATGTGGTCAGTAACATTTTGGACTTCCTGAGATTTAATTTTAACCCAGTTGTCATCAACATACCTGAACCAATGACTTGGTGGTGTCCCTGAAAAGGACGTCAAGGCTCTCTTTTCTACCTCCTCCATGTACAGGTTGGCAACACTAGGAGAAACTGGAGACCCCATAGCACACCCATGTTTCTACCTATAATATTGCTCCCCATATGTGAAGTAGGTTGACTGCAGGCACAGTTTCAAGAGTTGACACAGTTGTTCTGTGGAAAGCGTGGTCCTGCTGCTCAGAGTGGTGTCTGATTTTAATCTTAAACTGACCACCTCTACTGCATCATCAACAGAATGCACGTAAAGAGTGATGTGACATCAAGAGAGACCATTGTTTCATCGGTCTCAATGATGACATCCCTCACCTTATCCACAAAGTCCATGGTGTTCTGTATGTGGTGTTCTGAGCTGCCAACTAAAGGGATGAGTATCCCTCACCCTGTCTCTAAGGGAGAGTCCAGATACCCTGCAGAGGAAACTCATTTTAACCTCTTGTATCCACGATGTCATTCTTTCAGTCACTACCCAGAGCTTGTGATCATAGGTGAGGGTAGGAACGTAGACTGACCAGTAAACAGAGAACTTTGTCTTTCTTCACCACAATGGACCAGTACAGCGTCCGCAATACTGCAGATGCTGCACCAATTCGTCTGTCAATCTCACGCTCCATTCTTCCCTCAATTCTGAACAAAACCCCGAGATAATTGAACTCCTCCACTTGAGGCAGAACCTCACCCTCAACCTGAAGAAATCAATCCACCCTAGGCAGAATGTTTGTAAAACATAAAATGTTAATCTTTCTGAAAAGAAATATGATCAAAAGATTGAAATTATTCTGGTGTTCTGTAATTCACACAGGGTCTAAAGTATGCATACAAGCTTTAAATATTTACAGTTAAAACCAAAGTTTAACTACATTGTGTAAAAATACATCTTAAACATTTTATCTCACTGACATTAAATCAGATCAAACTTTTCCTGTTTTAGGTCTGTTAGGATTTCCAAATTTATTTTTGTTTGTAAGCATACACAAAGACAAATGCCTTCATTTTAGGAGACCTTTCCTGTGGTGTGATAAAACTAAAATTGATCTGTTTGGTCATCGTGACCATCTTTACATTTGGAAGAAAAATTGAGGAGCTTAAAAGTCAGAAAACACCATCCCAACTGTGAAGCACGAGGATGGCAGTATCATGTTTTACGGCAAGACTGGTGCACTTCTCACTTCGCAAAACAGATGGTATCACAAGAAAAGACCATTATGAGGAAATATAGAAGGAACAAATCAAGACATCTGCCAGAAAAGTTAAACCTATGGAGAAAATGGGTCTTTTAAATAAACAATAACCATAAGCATTCTGTAAAATTAGTAACAAAGTGGCTTAAGGACAACAAATCAATGTTTTTGACAGAACATCTGTGGACAGAGCTGTAAAAACGTGAGTGAGCAAGGCGGTCTAAAAACCTGACTCAGTTCTCTCAGGACATACGAGACAAAATTACAACAAACTACTGTTAGAAACGTAGAAACTTACAGAAGGACATCCAAACTTTTTGATCTAATCATAGTTTAGAGGCATTGTTATAATACAAAGAACATGGATGTTACTTGTGAAGAAAGTAATCATCTAATTATAGAACACAGTTTACCTCATTATTCTCATAGTTTGGCATTTAACAAATAATATATATAATTTAGAGAATCCTAACTGAACTATAACAGGAAAAGTTTAGTCACATTTAATGTCAGCGAAACAAAAATGGCAATGAGCCTTTTTAAAGAGTATATAAACATGTAGTTTTAACGTTACATCCTCACTAAAATTCAGCTCAAGGACTCTAGAGTAAATTGCACCTTGATAACGAGCTTTCTGGATCCATCAACAAGTTTTTGGCTGGATATTAAAAGAAAAAAGTGACGAAAGTGCGAAACAAGATGCACACGATCTGCTAAAGACGTTAAATCACTTAGCTACAAAAACTGCAGCTAACATCATCACACTAAATAAGATGAATGTATTTATACAAACCTAATCTGTGCAGATGAACTCTGGGGTTCAAAACAGCATCCAGGATTTTGTTTTGTTGCATTTTCTTATTTTAAACGAGACCGTTCCTCTTAATAATCTGGGCCTGTTTTGTCCAGAAACCCCGACACTGATTGTGATGCAGCTTCCAGTCGTTGTTTAGCCTGTGTCTTCACATCCGTGAGCTTTTGTTGATCTAAAGTTTCCTTTAACAGTTTCTGAGCCGAAGTCAAGAGGCTGGATTTACTGTAAACGTTACGGAAACTTTATTAATCGCTGAAAAGTAGAGACGATCCGTCTATTGCTAAGGCTTGGGGGGGGGGGGGGG